GTAGCCTGTTAGCTACTTTTTTTTTTAATCAACCACTGTCTGCAATTATGTTATTATTTGTCATGTTTTTACTGTCTGTTTCTCCCTTCTAAAATGTAAGCTCTCCAAGGAGGGCAAGTGATTGTAACCATTCACTACCAACTCTCCAGTACCCAGAGTTGTGCCCGGCTCATAGTGGATGCTCAATACATTTATGTTCAATGAATGAATGAATGAACTAGGTATAAATGACAGTGAAATAGAACTGGGAGAATGTATCACTCAGAGGGTTAAACCTCGCTGAAAGGGAACCCAAATGCGTGCCTTGAAATACTTTTCCTCACTTGTTATAATTTGAATGCATAATTCTAAGCCCTTGCTCTTTAATATGATGGCTAATTCTTATAATAAAATAATCCTGTACAATGCATTATCCTGATGCGGATTAGCAAAATTTCCTTAAGGTGAGAGTCAAAATTCTAGAAAAATAAGCAGAAAGGGATGTTGGCCAAAAATGTATGCATTATTTTGGGGTTAAACAATACACAGAGTAAGCTTCAGAAATAAATAATACCTTCTTTCAAAGGCCAACAATTTAGCAAAGTTTGGAATGATCTTTATTTACAGTGTCATTTCTAGAATGAACAGTGAAAAAAAATTATTATGCTATCTTATTTTACATACAGAGAAAGAATTGAATTGGCATTGTGTACATACTGGATATCAGTCTGAGATATAAGTGTTTCTTAATGATCAGGGCCAGATTTACATAGACTGTACTGGGTTGTGCATATTTTTGGTTGTTAATAATGCTTTAAATATTAATTTGACACTTTTAGTTTGTTTTATTCCTATGTGTTTTACTTGTGAACAATCATGAAATCCCATGTGACCTAGATAGCCGGAGTATGCAATAGGGACTTACTATTAGGAGTTTAAGCAGAGTTCAGTAACTATAAAGTATTTCTCTAATAGGAAACAAATAAGACAAACCCTCTGTTGACCCTCGTTTCACATTAAAATGACCGGAGTTTGACACCGAAGTGACAGCTGGTTAACACAGCTTGAGATTCCAAACGCTCGAGTGTATATAAATATTATGACTGATCTCAGAAGTGTGTTGGAAAACACTTTAAGAAAGGTCCTTGGTTTAACAGTTTGCTACATTCTCCTCTTTTGGTTTTATCTTCTGAATTTAGAGGAAATAGAATAATTAAAAACATGTAGTTGAACTCAACAGAACCAAGATTGGAGGTTAAGACTATGAATGCACATGATTGCTACTTTGTGCAAAACCTAGGGTTCAGATCCCAGTAGTTTGATAATATGACAAATACTCCAAATCCTCTTTGCGTAACGAAATGTCAGTAGCATGTAGAAAACCCATCACTAAAATTTAGTTTTGCCACCTTCTTTTTTATAATAGAACATGGTAGGGCAGGGAGAATTCTCCGGGATCGAGGTAGGTCATATCTATACTCTGGTCTCATAGGAGTCCAAAGGACATTTCTACTATCAAGCCTCTACTCCTTAACATTCTCTTGGTTTTATTTATTTATTTTTTTATCCTCACCTGAGGATATTTTTGTATTTATCTTCAGAAAGAGAAGGAGGGACAGAGGGAGGAAGAGAAAGAGAGAGAAACATCGACGTGAGAGACACATTGAGTGTTTGCCACCCACACAACCCCGACTGGGGCCGGGGACAAACTGCAACCGAGGTACGTGCCCTTAGCGGGAACCAAACCCAGGTCTCTCTGGTCCGCGGGCCGACGCTTTAACTGCTGAGCCAAACCAGCCAGGGCTTGGCTTCTTCATTTTTTTTTTTTTAAATCACATTCAAGGTACTGCTTATCCTGACATTATATAGTAGCTACTGGGAGTCTGCTGTGCATTTCTCTGTGGACAAGAAAAGCTTGGGATGACCGAGTGAGGAGAATAGGAAGCAAAAGTCATAAACAAAAGTCACAAGGATATAGTTTGTTATTAGACGGAGCAGATTAAGATTATCAGCCATTCAGAGTTCAGGGAGAAGCTTTCCCATGAGGCTGCAACATTTCTAAAAGGCATTAGCATCAATTAGTGAAGAGTTAGTTCCGAAATGTGGAGGTTGGCTAGGGCCGGTCATCAGCGTGTGAGTGGAGACCTGAGGAACAGAGAAGAGGCTGGGCCAGCCCCTTGCAGGTGGCATGATTGGCATAGGTTGAGATTAATAATCTTATATCTGTTTTATTTTTAATTTTTTAGAAAGATCGTACATGCACACGGTACAGAATTCAAACAGTATAACACACATGAGAATTAAGTCAGCTTCTCCCTGTAACTCCCAGCCCCCAGTTCTCTCGATTTTTGTAAGTTGTTCTGTGCTCTATGCATGGACAGGCATTTGTAGACAAATCCTTTTTTCTTCCCCCAACACAAACACTAGTGCCATATACAGCATCTTCATATTTTGCACAGATAGCATGCAAGTCACGTTATTCTAAATCTTGTTTTTTTTAACATAATAGATTATAATTTCATTCCCCTTAATTCCCTCAATTCCTTTTAACAGCCACACTGTTTTCTCCTGTGGGTGTGACAGTTCCCTGTGATGGACATTTAAGTTGTTTCAAGTCCTTGGTCCTATAAACGAATCACCCTTGACATTCCCCTCTCTTGTTCTCCACAAGCAGTGTCTGGCCAGATCTGTCCGTTCCCCCTGCGCAGCCTATGCTGTGCGTCTGTCCCCTCCCGCCACCTCCACTGCGGCACCCCAGCCACTTCTGGTTATTGCATTAGCTTCGTACTGGTCTCCCCGACTTCACTCTTGGCCCCTGCAAGTCACTCTCCACATGCAATGAATGTGATCTGTTCTCATCATAAGAGAAAGGAAACTTCAGTGAAACGCCATTTTCTACCCCTTCGACTGTCAGATTTAAAAGATGTTGCTAATATATTGTGTTTGCAAATGCTATAGGATAATAGACACTCAAACGTTGCTGGTGGGAGTAGAAGTTCATTCACTCGCTTTGGGGAGCAACTGGGCAATATCTATGAAAATTAAAATTATGTGGCGCCTTCATGACCCACCTGTTTATTTCTGGGAAATCATCCTTCCGGTATCTCACAGAAGGGAAAAAGTATATATATGATTTAAAATAAATATGATTCAAAATAAACAATGACATACTGCTGCAATTGAAGACTATGTAGAGTTTGTGAGCTGATATGAAAAATTCTCCAAGATAGTTAAGGGAATAAAGCAAAATGCAGAATGATGTGTATACTACAGTTTGTTTGTTAAGAAAGAAAGAAAAGATCAATCTGGTCTGGGACAGAAAGCTGGGTGATCCAGGACAGGAGTGAGGGGACGATGATAATGTACATACCCTTTCATCGAACTTAATATACCGTGTACACATTCAAGAGGAGAAACTTGTTTTTAAAGAGCGATTATTAATATGTCAAAATATGGGCACACGGCTTCTCTGGTCTGCATCCTTCTGTGATTCCTTTGCATGAAGGAGAAAACCCAGCCCAGGACCACATGCTCCCACTCGGGCAGCTTTTGTCTGTCTCCCCAGAGAGCCTGTGGGGGACTTCTTGTTCGCCACACTCCAGCCCCGCTTTCTGTCCCTCTAACGTGCCATGCCCTTTTGCGCCTCAAGAATGAGAAAGTCTATGTGATTTTGTTTGTTTTTTCTGCTGCCTGAAATGCTTATTTCCTTTACTTATTCCCATCTTTTATCAGTGACTTCCACTGAGAAAACGCCTCCAATCTAAAGCAGGTTCCCTTATCAGTCTCTCAGAAAAGGGCGCAATGACATGTTTATTTGTGTGGATTTTACCTAGTGTCTGCTCTGAGTACCATCTTTTACTTTATCAGGAGGGGTCATGGGGAAAAAACATTTTGTGGCAATCCAGGGGATCTGAGTTCTGATCGTACGACTGCGGATCTGCAGCTGCCAGGAACTCGCTGACCCCTCTGTGAAGTCAGACAACTACACTAATTGATTTCTAAGGCCCTATAATTTATAGTATAAGAATACTATGAGGATATAATATAAAGTGAATCACACATAAGTATTTAATGCTGGTTGTACTCTTAAGATAATGTAAAATACATCTAAATATTGCATGCTTGCATAAAAGAATTTTATATTATACATGAAAGTTCAGTTAAATTTTCTGAGTAACTGAATTTTATGATTATTTCCCACAGTATAGTTTCTTGATTCCTTCCTTGCCTTTTACAAATGTGTCAGCCACCTAAATATCCAGATAATATTTAAAGATGTACTTAATGTATAGTCAAGATACTCTTGTATGCTAAACCCTTATTATTTTCTTACACTTTCTTTGCTGTAGTTTTATAAGGCATGATTTTTTATCCAACATCTACAATTTAAGTAGTTAGATCATAGAAGTCTTTTCTCATTCTTGTTTTTAATTAAATTATAAATCCACTACGTGGTGTCTATGGACAGAAAGAAAGAGAAAAGTTAGTACCTTTTTTCTTCTCTAAAGCTCAATTTTGAAGTTCTGTTTAAGAAGGCTAAACATTTCTGATTATATTGTGGTTTTGGGAGCAAGGAGATGTCCTCATTAAAAAACAAAACAAAAACACAACCAAAGAGCATTTTCTTCAATTAAGTTTAAAGTTTCTGTTGGCTGTTAAAATAGTTAAGTCTACAAATTGTATATTTAAAATAGAAGAATGTATCAAATAAGTACAATGTGATTCAATTAATGTGATGAACATTGTTTGCCTTCTTATCTCTCTCAGCTTTCCCAGTTGTAATAATAACTTGACTCTATCCCATAAGTATTTTTCATTGTCAAATTATTCCTCATGTACTGATTACTAATTATGAATTCTAGACATTCTTTTAACTTGCATTTTCTGAAGAGCTTAATAGCACCCTATGTTAGAAAATCAGTCCTTTGCTACAATGGACCACACAAAGCTTATATTATAATAATTTAGCAAACCCTTACATTATAAGAAGGAAATTGTTTTAATTATTTTTTTCTCTTTAGCGCCTGGTCTGATGGCAGTAATTGGAGGTCGTCCAAAAGTGTAAGTTTACTGACAATATGCTAAAGTCAGTTTTTTATATATTGTTCCCCTCACATAGTTTTCTGGATAGGGGTGAGAGGAGGTCTGGGGATCCGAGGCCTGTCCGCCTGGAACATCTTGTTCATAGACTCCTGAGACTCCTGGGAACCTACCATGGCTCTTGAACAGCAAGCTGGCCTTATCTAAGAATCACCTGTGCTGATTCTAGATGACTCAGAACAGTGAATTGGTCCCTAGGGTTAAAGTTCTCATGAGATAAATGGCTTTTCTAGAGAACAGAAAAATAAGGCCGACCTAATCTGTTTTTGCAACCAGGAATTTGCAATGAGGGAAATACGATTTATTGACAAATAAATACTTAGCTTCACCTAAGAAAATCGGAGGAAGGTGGCCACCTCCTTTAGGTTAGTTCTCCTACCGGATTCTGTGGTTCACCTTCTCTCGGTGGTTCTGTTTGTAGGAAATGAAGTCGATTCTTGTGCTTTAGTGGAATTTTCTAGCTGCTTTTGTTCTTTGGAGGTGAGATAAGATATGATATGTTAAGATTACTGGGTTCCAATATGTATTTATGTTAGTTTCATCAAGAAGGCATGGGTTCCTTTTTCTGTCTAAAAGTCTGAAAAGGCAGAAAAAGAGCTTCAAAAGAGTTGCCTACAGCTTAATCTTTTCTCTCCATTCTCTTCTGAACCCTCTACAACAAGAAGGGTTTCGCCTCCATTGGTCTTTCCAAACTGCCCTTGTCAAGGTCTCCCATACCTTTATTTTGCTTAATCCAAAGGTCTGTTGTTACCATCATTTTACCTGCACCCTAAGCATAATTTGGCACTATTGGTCATGATTCTCCTCCTTTAAATACTTTCTTAACTTGGCTTCCAAGGCACTACCTTTTTGTGGATGTCTCCTACCTGATTGCCTGAAACTTCTCCATCTCTTTGCTGGATGGTCCTTGGACCACTGTCCTTTTCTACCTACACTTACAGCTCTGATGAGTTCATTTCATCTTGACTTTTAATACCACCTATATGCCAATGGCTCTCAAATTTATTTCTCTAGCTCATTTGTCTTCCTTGGTCCTCAAGCTCATTTATTATCTGTCTACTTAACAACTCCCATTTGGATGCCTAGCAAACATCTCATGCTTAACATGTCCCAAACTCAATCCCAGTAACTCCCTCCAACCAGTTCCCCCTCTTTTCAGTAAATGGCAACTTCAAGCCAAAAACCTTCATGTCATCCCTGACTGCTCCCTTTACTCATATATATACAGGCTATCAGCCATGGTTCTGTGCCTGTGTCTTCAAAATTTGTCCAAAGTCTGGCCATTTATTGCCCTCACGGTTATCACCCTGGTTTCAGCTACCATCATCTCTGGCCTGTATTATTGCAACAATCTCCTAACTGGTCTCCCTGGTTCTACTTCCCACTATAGTCTGTTCTCAAAATAGAGTGACTCTTTTTATTTTTTATTTTTGTTATTGTTGTTGACATTATTACAGATGTCCCCTTTCCCTGCCCTCCTTTGCCCACGTCTACCCAGCCCCCACACCCCCTCCCCTGGCCTTCCCTATAGTGTTGTCTGTGTCCATGGGCTATGCATATATGTTCTTTCTTTAAACATGTAAGCCAGATGATATCACTCTTTGTTCCAAATCTTTAATGTCACCGAGAGTAGATGCAGAAGTCCTGAAGGTGGTCGAGCAGGCTCTGCCCAATCTCCGTTCTCCAGTCTCGACCTTCTCCCAGGCACTCGCTCTGCCCCAGACTCACACACTGGCCTCCCTTCCAGATTGCCTCAAGGTCTTTGCACTTTCTCCTCACGCTGACCCAAATGCTCATGGCTTCCTCCCTCACTTCAGGTCTTAGCCCCAAAGTCCCTTTTTATTTATTAATGTTTTTTATTGTTGAAAGTATTACAGATGTTCCCTTTTTTCCTCATTGACCTCCTCCTTGGTCCCACCCGCTTCCTGCCTCCCCGGCCTAGTGTCCCTGTGGATTGGTTGTGCACATATGCATATAAATTTTTTGGTTTATTCCCCCCCCCCCCCATGCCCCATTCCTCTGAGGTTTGTCAGTCTGTTCCCTACTTCCATGACTCTGGATCTCCTTTGGTCGACAGCTTATTTTGTTCATTATGTTCCACAGATTAGTTAGATCATGTGTACTTGTCTTTCTCTGACTGGCTTATTTCGCTCAGCATAATACTCTCCAGGTCTCTCTCCATGTTGTCTCAAAAGGTACGAAATCTCTCTATAGCTGTGTACTATTCCATTGTGTAAATACACCACAGTTTTTTTAGCCACTCATCTACTGATGGGCACTTGGGGTGTTTCCAGATTTTAGCTATATATTGACTAAGATCTTCTAATACTTTCTGTCCCCCACTCTGCTTCATTTTGTTTGAGGGCACTTATCACCATCTGACCTACTATCCATTTTACTAATTTATATTCTTTATTATTTTTTCAAATAAGTTTTCTATGTCTTTCTCTCTCTCTTCTTCTTCCGACATCCCCACCCCCACGGTCTTCTTGAAGTTGTCCCAGAGGCTTTTTTTTCTTTTTTTGATTCTTTTTTCTGTTTGCTGTTTTGGTTGGGTGTTTTTTGCTTTCTTATGTTCAAAACTGCTGATTTGATTCTTCGCTTCATCTACTCTACTGTTGATTCCCTGTAAATTCTTTATTTTAGTTAGTATATACTTCATTTCTGACTGGTTCTTTTTTATGGTTTCTATGCCTTTTTTATGCTGTTGAAATTCTCATTAAGTTCATTGAGCATTTGTATAGCCAGTGTTTTGAACTCTGCATCTAGTTGATGGCTTGTCTCCATTTTGTTTAGTTCTTTTTCTGGGTTTTGTTCTGTTCTTTCATTTGGGACATGTTTCTTTGTTTCCTCATTTGGCAGCCTTCCTGTGTTTGTTTCTATGTACTAGGCAGACCTGCTACATCTCCTAGGCTTGGTAGGGTGGCCTTATGTAGTAGGTGTTCTGTAGGGTGCAGTGGCACAGCCTCCCCAATCACCCAAGCTGGGCACTACAGGTGCACCCTCCTTCCGTGTGGGCTGTGTAAACCCTCCTGTTATAAGTGAGCCTTGATTGCTGTTGGCATACCAATGAGAGGGATTTACCCCTCCTCCTCCAGTGACAGAGACAGAGCTATCTGGTTTGGAGCGTGGTCTCCAGTGTTTCTCCAATGGGAAAAAAAACAAGGGGAGAATCTCCTCAGTTTTCTCTCCACCTCCTTTTCTGCCGGCCCAGTCAGAATCAACCCTTTCCAGTTACCCCTTTTCTCAAGCCCACTGAATTTAAGAAACTTTTCTGTTTCTCTCTCTTAAATAAGCCATCTTAATAAACTAAAACAACACGCCATATCTTCACCATAATGAGAGTCTACATAGTTAGAAAAAGAGATCAAAACTTCTTTGACTTTTTTAAAGCATCCAAGAATAAAATAGATGAATAAGTTGTGGTATATTATTTCAATGAAATACTGTACAGTCGTGGAAATTTACTATATGTAGCTGAATGATTTACAGCTATATTCAACAACACGCATGAATCTCACAAACATAACATTCAATGAAGTCAGGAATCAACGAGTATGTACTGTAATTCCGTGTATACAAAGTTCAACAAACAGGCAAAAATAAACTTGTGTTTGGGGGTACACATTTAGGTGGAGAACTATAAAGAGCGCTGGCTGGTGTGGCTCAGTTGGTTGGGTGCCATCCTGTGCACTGGCAGGTTGGCAGTTCTATTCGGGTCAGAGCACATTCCCCATTTGCTGGCTTATTCCCCAGTAGGGGGCATGCAGGAGGCAGCCCATCAATGTTTCTCTCCCACACTGATGTTTCTCTCTTTCTCCCTATTTCTTCCTCTCTCTCTTAAAGTCAACAAAAAAAGAACTGTAAAGAAAAGCAAGGGAATGATTTTTATCAAAGTCAGGACAGTGATTACTTTGTTGGAGGTGGTAGAGACTGGGAGAGGCAGGAGGGAACCTTCTTAGCTGCAGGCGGAAATCTGTTTCTTGACATTGGTGGTGATTATATAGATGTTGTTTTGTGATAAATCATCAAGCCGTACATGTTTATTCCTTGACCTTTTCTCTATAAATATTATATTTCACTATAAAAAGTTTAAAAAATGTTTAAGGATCCCAAGATATTTGGTCCCATAAACTTAATCTTACACACCGTGCAATTTAATAATAACATACTTTGTCTCTAGTTTCAACTCTTGGTCAGTTCAGTCCACAAATATTCAATGCTTTCTCTATGTCTCTGTTCCTTTCCTGTTTGTAACTTTTGTGGGTTTTTCTTGTACTTTGTTGTCTGCCCACATTAGATAAGTCGATTTCCTTCTGACCCTTATATTTGTTATTTAGGTTAGACTTAAATATTGGATCACACCAAAGGCCATTTATCTCTGTCCGTGTCTAGAAATTATGCCCTGGGTCCATGTAGACTTCTTTCAGGTAGTTACTTGGTCTTACGGGAGACTGGATGAAGGAGTGTACTGGTGAAAATCCAGAGGTTTGTCCTAGAAAAACAACTTTTTTTTTTTTCCTTACCCAAAGATATTTTTCCATTTTTTTGTACAGATAGAGTGGGAGGGAGAGAGAGAGAAAGGGAGAGAGAGAGAGAAACATCGATGTGAAGGGACACATCGAGTGGCTGCCACCCGCACGACCAACCAGGGCCAGGGACAAACTGCAACCGAAGTACGTGCCCTTAGCGGGAACCGAACCCGGGTCTCTCCAGACCGCAGGCTGATGCTCTAACCGCTGAGCCAAACCGGCCAGGGCGAAAAACAACTTTTTTATTCAATTTTCACTGACCCACTAATGCTTGCTTTCTGTGTATAAAAAGACTCTTTCTGATGAAGAAATCTGAGTGCTCCTTGGTAGGCTGAAAGAGAAATGCACACAAGAAATAGATTGGCGTATATGGTCAGTAAGAAAACGAGGCAGAGGTGGGCCAGGCATGGCAAGTGAGCGGAAGGCTGGAAACCCCACCTCCCTCTTTCTGAGCCCTCAGACTTAAAACCCTAATTATATTGTCCCTTCTTTTGTATTACATTCTAGATCTCCTGTTCTAAAATCATTTTCCTTCCTGTATCCCAAGAAAAAGGTCAAGGTAAGAGAGACTCCTTAATCTGCTACAGTAGTATCTTAATTATACTTTCAAGCATATGTAATATTGGTATTTTTTGGAGAGATTAGTCTTGACAAGCCTCTTTAACTGTATTGTTCATTGGGTTAAAAGATAAAAACTGTTAACGGTCATGGTTGGGGAATGGGTCACCCTAATTACCTGATTGTTCCTATCATGTGAAGATAAACCCTCCCCATGAACTGGATCTGTCTTGACTGTAGACCAAGTATATAACTACCTAGATGGATGGACTACACATGATTGCATCTGGATTTTTTTTTCTCAGGGTTACAATGTTGTATTGGATATTGTCTTGGTTGTCCACTTTTAAAGATATTGTACTTTGCCAATTATCTTCTGTCTAGGAATCAGAATTGCACTCACAGTGAAAATATGCTCATAAAATGTAAATGTCTCTGGTCATTTAAATTAAACAGAAAGAAAAAGAAAAAAACAAAAGGAAAAAATGAATGTTTCTAAACCTTCACTCATTAAACATAAAACTTTAGGGACCATAAGCCACCCTGAAAACACTGAGTTTCTCTAAAAAGTGATTGTCAAAGTAATCAAAATGCTTCTGAATTTTTTAGTTAGCAGAATTAAGACATTTTAAAAAACTAACATTTAATGTTAATAAATTATAAGAAGGGAGGGATCACATCTATCTTATTTACCACTATATCCCCAGCACAATGCCTGGCACATCATAATTTTCAAAAAGATGTTTAATGAATGAACGAAGTTCATGGTGGTAGGCAATATTATGTATATTATTTTCTTTAATCTTCACCATCATGTTAAAAGTTAGGTTTTGCTAATCCCCCCTTTATAGATGAGGAAGCTGATTCTTGGGGAGGAGAAGGGAGTTGCCCAAGGTCCCCCACACACCAACCAGAAAATGGCAGACATGGGGAACCAACAATGATGTGCCTGACTCCACATCTGACATTTATCTGATGATGACACTGGTTTTAGCAAAGACAGCTAGTTACCTTGCCAACAGCCATTTCCTTCCCCAGCCTTCATTAGAGCCCAAATTGGGTTTAGTGTTCTATTCTCTCAGGTGACTCAGGTAAGTCCTGATTGGCCTAAGCCAAAATAATTTCCCATGCCTACCCTAAACCATGGGTTCTGAGAGAATATGGCACAGTGAAGGAAGTACATGTAATTGCATGCATAGGGTACAGGTTGGAAAAATTGAGAAAGAACTCTAGAGAGGTGGATGGGGGCCTGGTCACAGAGGGCCTTGGGGCCAAGCTGTGGTAGGAGGCATATATCAGAGAGCAGTAGCGAGTTACAGGAGGATAGTAAGGATGTTGGGAACATGATGGTATTTGAACTTTAGGAGATCACTTTGGCAGCAGAGAGGAAAGCATTTTGGAGGAAAGAAAGGAGGTAATTAGAGATTAAGAGAAGCAGAGAAAAAGGAATAGGGGCTTTTAGATTCAAGAGATATTTAGGAGGTAATTTAGGTAGAATTTGGTGACTAGATGAGAGTAGTAGGAATTTGCAAAGAAATGCAGAGCTGGCGAGGGGCCATGGAGGAGGCTGCCAGACTGTGCTGGGGGCTCCGCTGAGGACCGTGACTGTGAGTTAAGGGCTCTAGTGCACATGGTTGAGTGATTTACTTACTGGGATTTTAGGAACAAGGAAGGCTGGATTGATCCACATTTGGTAACTATTGCAGAAGGAAATGGAGCAAGAGAAGTGAGAAGTTGGAGGTATGTTTAAAGAGACAGGTTGAAAGACTAAACCAAAATAAGAGGGAGAAGAAAGCAAAATCAGAAGAAGGTCTAATACATGGAGTAAAAGGACAGGACTTCAGTCCAGTTCTGGTGGGGAAGCAGGTATAATTGGAACAATGAGGATAACAGGAGCTTGTGATAAGAAAGTTGAGAGGTATGGTTGAAGATGTTACAAGTAGAGTAGCTCCAGGTAATAACAAGGGGAGAAGGATGAGATGATATCTGTGTGGAGATGAAGGGTTATTGGAGTTGATGAAGCCAAGGTGTTGGTTATCAGAAGGGTCATCCATGTGAATATGGAAGAGAACAGGATTGTGGTAGAATCGTAAGCCATGTTCCAAAGTCTCTGATACATGTCAGGGAGTGACGAGAACAACAGGAAGGGATGGAGGACAGTACATTTGAGAGGTACGGGTTTCAAAGGGAGGATTTTCATAGGAAATTGGAATAATGGTGAGTGGGCAAACACTAATAGTTCTTTAGCACTTCCTGTGCGCCAGCTTCTGTTCTAAGTGGTTTACATACACTGAACTAATTTATTTCTCACCTATGAGGTAAATACCATCATTATCCCATTTTCCAATATGGAGACTGAGGCTCTGAGACATTTAATGACTTGCTCAAAGTACAGAGCCACGATTCCATCTGGGCAGTTAGAATGCAAAGTTCACACTCTTACCCATGTCACTGACCTGCAGTGCTGATTCTGCTGGACAAGCCCAGCTAGCCCCTGTTGGTTAAATGGTAAGTTCAATAGCAAACTTCCTCCACTGAAGAGTGAAGGGAGGGTGTAGTATCTGCAGTGAGGAGCCATTCAGAAAAGGCAGAACATGACTGGTCCTTGATACAGTTCTTTGTGTTTTCTAGAGTCTATTTTATTTAGTACTTGAACATGATAGTGTGCCTTTGAACTATGTGTTAATCTGTAAACTGCCTGAGGTCTTTTCAGAAGTGGGTGCGGTATACTTTTAAAATAAATGGTTACGTTAATTATTAACTATACATACTCAATTATGTAAAGGAATTAATTTGGATCTCTCAGAGAATTTATACAACATTCAACTAAGAATGGCCCAAAAGAAACTGAAATATGCAGTCTTCGAAAGTACATGGCTCTGCTTTTTCCCTGGCGTTCCTAAGCTTTATGGTGAACTAATTGATTCGAGGTTCATGACTACCTATTAAGAAAAATTCTTGTTGTTGTTGTTGTTGTTGTTATTGGACAGACACTGTCTTATAAACCAAGAGCCCAAGAGTGTTAGAAGACATTATAATCCAAAGAAGAAGCTTATTTTGCTTGACTCAAATTAAATTCTTTTTCTTTTCTTTTTTTTTTTATCCTCACCCGAGGATATTTTTCCAGTTTTTTTGTTTTTTTTTTTTTGTACAGATAGAGTGGGAGGGAGAGAGAGGAAGGGAGAGACAGACAGAAACATCGACGTGAAGGGACACATCGAGTGGCTGCCACCCGCACGACCAACCAGGGCCGGGGACAAACTGCAACCGAAGTACGTGCCCTTAGCGGGAACCGAACCCGGGTCTCTCCAGACCACAGGCCGACGCTCTAACCGCTGAGCCAAACTGGCCAGGGCAAATTCTTTTTATTTTCTTAGAATTAAGTCCCAAAGAGTCTTTGAATAACATGTTAATCCAATGAATCACTGAGAAATGGACTTATTTGTCTTACAGAGTTACTACTCTTCCTGAAAAGTGTAGCTCTAAGAAGTGTAAACATGAGGAAAATATGGATTCATACAAAAGGAAATTTACGTTGTGATTGTAAACTTACTGTACCATGGACTCATAATGGGAAGTCTGCATCTCACAATTAAATTTAAGAACTCTGGTACATATAAAATAAGTTCTTTCAAAATGTGATTCAGGTTTTATTTATAAATGCATCTACTGAAATGAAGCCTAGTGCACACAGTTTATGCTAATCATTAACATGGTCATGGGTCACATTCCAAATTAAGAGTAGATTTGTCAGATATTGAGTCTCAATCGGGTAATTTGTAAAAACCAAATGATTTTTTTTATATCTGGAAGGTTCTGAAAGGCAGCTTTTGAAGGGTTCTTAGTGAAGCTTTGGTTTCTAGAAAAACTGGATGGTTTCTAGACCAAGTGGTCCTACACAAGGGGAAAGAAGAGACATTGGAGAATCGTCAGTAAAAAAAGATTATCCTTTATTTCTGTTATTTCTACTACCACTCCACTCTTTGGGAAAAAATGCTTTGTGAAGTCAGGAAGTAAAGGCAGTGAAGTTCAGTGCAATCCACTTCATCTGAAGCTTTTCCAGAGTCCAGTTTTCAAGGTTCTGAGTTCCCTGCTCAACTATCCGCAGGTGGCGGGGATGGTGGGAGGGGTGGGTAGAAATAAATGCAATCTTTTCCCTCAGGTGGCTAATAATATACTTGCATTTTATGTTTATTGTTCTCTTGCTTGTTTATATGGTTTTGCCACTTATGTATATATTCCTAAGAAATCTATTGCTCAGTTTAGATAATTTTGAACTTTATAGTTATGGAATCCAGCTGTTTTCTTCTGTAACTTAATTTGTTTGCTTTCCCCCCCACTCCCCACACACACACACAAAATTATCTTTTGAGATTTATCAGTGTTGAGGCATGGAGTAATCATTTACTATAGAGTCTTCCATTTTATGAATATACTATAATTTACAAACTTATTTTTGTTTTATAAGAACACTGACATTTTTGTAGGTTTTTGTTTATTTGCTTTGCTTTTACACACATGCTGCCTTGAACATCCTTGTATGTCTGATACTCATGTGCAAAGGTTTATCTGGGTATTTACCTGGAGGTAGAATTTTTGAGTCATGGGTATGTGCCTCTTTAACTTTATTTCTGGATAGTGCCAACTTGTTTTCCCAAGTATGAATTTACACTCATCCCTTCAGTATATGATTGCTTCAGAGTCTCTTCAACACTTGATATAAGCCAACTTTTAAATTATTGCCAGTGTGATTGGTACAAAGCAACATTTCATGTAGTTTTAATTTGCATTTTTCATGCATTTATTATCCATCCTGTTGCCTTTCTGGAGATGCCCACTTGTGTACTTTGCCCCTTTTTTTCTCTGTTGGGTTGTCTGTCTTTTTTGAGTTTCATATATTCTGGGAACAAATCCTTTGTTAGGTATATACGTCACTAATTATTTCCTCCCAGTTTATGGCGTTATGGGATTTATCAGTGAATAGAAGTATTCATTTTGATG